TATAACAGTTATTGAAATGTATGGACCCCTCACTTATTGGGGCCGATAGAAGCTCCCAAATCGTCACCCACAGCGACTACTATGGGAGACTAGAGTCTTGGCAAGTGAATGTACGCTGTGGGTGACGACATGGGATAGTACAGCACGTCGTCAAGTTACTTATGGGTAACTTCTGGGGCTTGTTCGTCAGTGAGGTGCGTCCCACGGTACTTGTAGCCAATTTTCCTTCACCGGTACACTTCTGCTAGCGTAACCAGTGCCATAGTACGTGATGTGACGTAGTTGCCAGGACCTCCGGAGGTTATAGTGAAGGGGTACCCATCGCTCCATCGTCGTCTCATACCTAATTCTTCACCACACCTCCAATAGTACGTACATCCCAGCCGTCAATTGACAACAACTTACTGACTTTTGACAGTGGTGACTTACAGTAAACGAGACCAACGCCAAACAGAGAAGGGGGTCTCATGGAGCCAATCATTGGCCAGAAGAGGCAGGAAGAACCGCGCTAGTAGCCGCACTAGCACCGGTCTCAGTGAAGGATGCTCAATGAGCACTCCTTCAGGGATCTCCCATCCCTCACAGTCTCAGCCCTATTCTCAGCCATCAATCCTTCACCAAAACAACAATACTTTCACCGCCATCAGCCCCAACAACTCCTCCAATGACGCACTGTTTGTGAGTGGAGGTTCCAGCAATGATCCCAGCCGAAGTATCTTCGATTCTGATGAGTTTGACAACGTTGGAGCGGGTGACGGTGAAGGAGATAGCTGGACTGAAGAGGAGGAAGAGGGCTTAGAGGAAGAGCAGATTTGTGAGCTGAGGGATGTGAATGAGGAGGTGGATGGGGTTGAGTTTCTGGCTCGTTGGAGGGTTTTCTGTGGCAAGGATAGAGTCGGAGCAATGGAAAATACTGAAGAAGATTCACGTGAGCTTGACCTACAGTGCCTGTTTGTATGGGTGAAGGAGCAGATCCAAGAACAGAGTCCAATCCCCTATTCTGTCAACTCCTTCACCGCCACCGTCTACTTCACTGGCCAAACAAAGGACACCCGATGGGTCCAAACGCTCCGAGAAGACCGTCCAGAATCCCTCCGTCGACTTCTTCACTGCCTCCGCCAAAAACTTGTCGAACAGCGAAGCCTCCGGTCCCACAAGGATCTCATGGTGGACTTTGATCTTATACTCCGACCCTCCGCCACCACGGGCATGACTCCGGGTGGACAGGGGCAAGGACCCGGGTCCTCCCAACGGCAAACTGCGACCAATCGTCAAGAACAAGCCCTGGGGGAGGGTAGGGCAGTGCTCATGGGTACCGAAGGTGTAGGATTTGACATTATCCTTCACTGGAAGTGTACTTCATTGTACTGCCATAACTACAATAAGACCTGCTGGGCACCTTCTGGGGATGCTCACCGAGTAGAAGATCACCACAAAGTACCTCAGCCAGTGGCGGAGATATGGGCAAGGGAGGTGAGGCAGGGCATGTGTACTGTGAATGAGCCCTCAGAGAACATCAGAGGCCTTCTTGTACAGGAGAAAGCAAGGTCCAGGGCACCCAGAAACCTCACTGTTGATGCTATCGCTGTGTCACGAAGATGCTACGAGTAGGCCCTTTACGACTCGCTGGGAGTCTAAATCAATTACTACGTACGATATCTAAGTAGGTACAAGACGTTGTGTACCGAACAGAACTCTACCAGCAATAGTCTATATACTTACGTGTGGGTTCGTTCGGTTACCGGTTAATAATCGGAACTGAGGTGGATAGGTATCGGGGTTGCAAGTCCCAGAGCAGGGCTTGCAGAATCCTAATACTCCCGCCTCAGAGGTTGCAGGCCCGCTCCGGAGGTGACCGGAGGTTGTACGTCCGCTTCGGAGGTGTGTAAGGACGCTGGGGATTTGGTGCGTACGGTCAGGGATAGTACGGAGCGGATCCGGATATTGTCAGGGGATCTGGAGAGGATACCGTGACAGCTGACCTCAAAGGTGAGATCAGTGATATGAAAGAGCTTGGGATGTCCCTCTGCAAGGTGTATATGGCTCGGGCTCAGGCCTCATTGGTGGAGGATTTGGTCAACAAAGGTACTGATAAAAGTACTTCAGATGCCTCCGCATCTACGGCTCCTATTACTCCAGATAAGTCAGGCAACTTTGATGCATTTGGCAGTGGCGTACCCTCGTACAGGCTCCTCCAAGCGTTTTTTTCGTATTGGCACGACCAGGAGAAGGACGACGCCCCTCAAGCCTGTCTTATTGTTGACCTGGCCAAGGTATTAGTTGGTCGTGGCTGGAGCGTAGAGTCCCTCCGGGATCCTAGTAAACTATCACTTTCAATGTGGTGTGATGACATGGGATACTTTGCGATAACGCTTGGCAGAATGAGGTCTATGTTAGAAGACTTCATTGCCTTGCCTAATTGGAGACGATGGGTGGATGTAAGGCATGGCTGGGATCAACTTGTGTTCGATTCTGACTATTTATCCCGGGTGGCGGCGGAGGCGGATGATTATGGTGATCATATGGTTGACGTTGCTGGGTCGTAATTTCTGGCGTTGCTAACTGGAATCTTGCATCAACGTTTATAGATAAAAGTATAAAAAAAATTCAGGCGCTGTTTCTATATATCTTTCTGAGCTCTCACACCAAGCGACAAGTAAATTAGACGTTGTAGTGGTGTTGTGATGATGGCCATTCAAGCGAAAGTTTTGAAGTTGAAGCAACGCTCACCCTAAACAACTCCTCTGCTATCTAACCTTACTATGTTTAGGCATCTCACTCCACCCCTCAGCAACAACGAGCGATGGTGACAAGTCTAAAGTGAGTTGTGAGATCATGCTTTTGGGTATACCAGATTAATTGCACATATCAATTTGGCTAGGTGACGTGTGGATGTTGATGGATAGTGGATGTGACGTGTGTGGAGGCATTTGAGGGAATATTTAGCTGGAAATCTAAAAGATGGCGGGGGGTGGCTGAAACCCTGGGGGACGCCAAACCTAAGCAAGGTAGATTTCGCGCTAGTGGGTTGAACAACAACATCATAACACAACTTTCAATAATTCAATCACGACCATTTTTGACCCATTGCATTAATTCTGACACTGCAAAACGCTCAAACTACACCTAAATTATCTATTCCAAGTGTCGCGATAGTTTATTAAGCGTTGTGGTGGTTGTTGCAGGTTTGTCTAGATTGCCAGAATCTGGAATCTTCACAACCACGGATCAACGTCAGGGCCGAGGTACCCACAACGTTTGTACATGCCTGAGAAGCTCTTTCCCACACAGCACTGACTGATCGCCCACCTCAGGAAACCAGGCAAGTCCTCAAAGCTGTTGACCGATGACCAATGGCGTCTTGTGAAGCTTTTCAACACCCAAAAGGTCTGTTCAATGGGGTTGTAGTCTGGAGAGTATGGCGGCAACTCCACCAACAAGACACCCCTCGCATGACAGAGTGCTCGAACCCGATAACTGTTATGAGCTGAGGCGTTATCCATGAGGATAATAGACCTTGATTGAGGCCATGGACGGCAATTTGGCAGCACTTTCTCCTCCATGAAGGTCTCAAAAAGCTGCTTTGTCATGCCTCCTTCGATGATCTCGCACGCAAAGTACCCATTCACATCCATCGCTGGGATGACGCTTACTCTTCGAGCGCGAGTACCGAAGTACTCACTCACACATCCTTCACTGGCTACACTCCATCCTCACTTGCGGTCGGCTGTACGCTCATTAGCAGCACTCTCATCAATGGCAATGATCTGATGACGCTGCCAATGGCGTGAGATCTGGTGGAAATGCTGCCGGAGTGCTTCACTACGTGCCTTAGCGTGCTTTGAAGCAACTTTTCTGGTCCATCCGCGTTGCTCTAGAGTGCGATAGATAGTGGGTTCGGACACAATGACGTTGAAATCATCGTACAAAAACTCTCTCATCTCATCTAAGTATGCAATCGGGCGCTCGCGGAGGTACTCCAACAAGGCCTAAGAGCATCAGCACTGAACGATTTGTGTGTATAATGGCTGTACTCACTTCCTCCTGTGCCGGCAACAGTAACTTTGGGCGACCTCTCACCATACTCTCGGGCGGATATGGGTTATCGTACAAGTCCATGCTCAACGCGATGCGCTTGACTGTGTTTCTACTACATCTATGCTTCTTGGCGATAGTACGGTATCCCAGTGAAGTATAGAGGTCGATGAGAACATCCCTTAGCTTCTCTGGATGAAGTTTGCGACCCATCTGAGTGAATTGGGATGAAGGAGAAGGTGGAACAAGATGCCAATTGCACCGGAATCACTATATAAAACACATCTACAAGTACTATTACATCACTGAACCAGTGGTGGAGGGGTCCGCACATTTCAGTAATCACCGATATTGCCAGAGGTGCTGCCAACATCCCCATCATTACTTTCTCCACACTCACCCCATAATGTACGAGGCGGTGGAGTAGTTAAATTAGTACATTGATGCTGCAGAGTTGCTGGGTGTGTAGACTGTGAAGGTTCTGCTCCGTGCATGTAGGACACCTGGGTCTCAAACTGCAACGCTTTGTGTCACGGTTCAGGGCGCTCTTGCCTGTCGAACCTCACCTCCATGAGAGTGACTGCCACGTCACACTAGCGTTGTTTACAGCTACTCACCTATATGTACTGTCCGTAGCTTCACCCAATACAACCTCAGTTCAATCCTTCAATTCTTCCCACAGCGTACTGATCACTCACGATCCCCGACACTTTGTCACTCAGTTGAGTAGACTGAGGCAGCTCATACGGAGCGTCACAAGGGAGCGGCTTAGTCTCGCCAGAATCATTCCCATAGTAACCACTACTGAGCAACTCATGTACTCGCTACTCAGTCCTCACGTTGTCCGGCAGCGCTGCCACAAACAGGTAGTAGGGGTCATACTCAGCACGCGCGCGGCTTGCGCAAATGGATGCCCAAGTCCCAACATTGCTAATGCCATACCTGTACTGTCTTGTGTGAAAGTCATCCACAATAAGCTCCTCTAGTTGCTCACGCCACTCCTCATAGCGATAGTGTTGTGGGCGCAAGCCTCGGGCATGGCTGGGCATAGCTGTGACACCATCGGCGTGACACTTAACGCTTTACTTGCCTTGGTTGCGCAGCGTTGGGCGCAGCTTCTTCCATTTGTTGATGATCCGCAGGCGCTCAGTGGACAGCCGTGTCTCAAGCTCGCGCTGTATGGAGTAAATGGCATCTAACTTGCGCTGCTCCTTCATTGCGCGCACATCCTCCGGGCGTACAGGCCCACCTACAACACCTTGAACAGCACGCCGGCCACGCCTACGACGCTCTGCACGAGCTGACTCTGCAGCCTGTGTGTCTAATAGTTGCTGCTGGAGGCCTCCAGCAATGCGTGCAAGCGCTGATAAACCTTGGAAATGGCGCAACACGGGGACAGCCAGATGACCTGGGGGGTGATTGCTGAGCGCCTTGTGGACAGCTCGGCTTTGTAACTCAACTTCAAGTACACTTTTAGGTACCTGCCAGTCCATTTTGGGCAGCCCGTCATCGAAAATTAAGCGCTGGTAAGGCCTATCATCATTGCTGCTGTCCAACGCTTGCATTGGGTTCACTGGCGGAGGCTGAATCCGCATGAAAGCATCTGCTGGTGGTGCTGGGTCCTTCACCAGTTGCGCATTGCTAAGCGCCCAGCGGACCTTCATGCTTGTTGAGAAACCTCGTGGAGTCTCTTTTAGGCGCTTTATAGACCGTACAGGTGTGTTGCCAAGCGCTCGTTCAATGTCAGAAGACTGCAGGTCCGGTGTTGTACGCTGAACTGAGACATTCCAGTCCTGATGCTGATGCTCAATTGCAACAACCCAGTCCTCCTGTTGCTCATGCCGCTCGTCCGCATCAATCCCCTCATATGCTTTGAGCTCGTTGATGACCAGGTCTGGCTTGAATGGGTGCAAGCCTGTACGCCTCCAGCCACTGCGGATGGTGCTGGCGGTGAAAGTTGAGCGGCGTATATCGGTGACTGGTACAAGATTGACCACCCCCATACTTTGGTTATGATGATTCTAGTGAACCAGAATGTAACGCAGTAGTATAAAAGTACGTGTAAGGCTCACCTTCTGCATCCTCCTTCACTGCCTTCTTTGTCTCTAAAGTCTACAATGGGTCGCCGCCTGCCAGTCAATGTTCTCCTTGACGTACTGCTTAGCCTTGAGCTGGGTAGCAATAACAAAGCAATTGCGCGTGAGTGTCACGTAGATGTAGGGACAGAGAGAAGGATCCGAATCAGTATGGAGGTGACTGGCTTGCCATACTTGCCACTGACTGCAGTTCAAGGCAGGCCTGCTGCTATGCTTCCTTATCAAGAAGATGTACGTGAAGGTCTCTAAGTCAAAGGCCGTACAAAGCTGACAGCAGAGCAGGCACTCATTGATTGGCTGTAGCAGCACAACACAGCTTACTTGGATGAGTGCGTTGAGTGGGTCTATGACCAGTTTGGAGTCGATGTAGGCCCATGGACTATCTATCGGCTCCTCCAACGTGAGCGCTACATGTAACGACGAAGGCCAGTAGGGAAGATGTCCGAAGTTAGTGTGAGTCCACTACAAGGCATATGGGAGTGCTGGGACGTTGAGAACACTAGGATTGAATTCCCTACACCTATAGGTCTTGTACAAAAGGATACAGAAAAACTACTTTATCTAAAGTACAGTATCGGAGTCATTAAGTATCCCATTGAACCGGAAGTACCCTTGTCCAGGTGACAAGGAGGTAGTTCGCAACAGACAAGGAGCGGTGTGCTGAGACCTGCAGGAACCACATCGGTATCGGGGCGGACACGATTGTAGGTGTTACACTACACATACAAGGTGAGCGCTAAGTTCAATCAAGACCATAATAGTGAGCTCCGCCAGCACTTTTACAACCGTCAGAGGACATTGAGAGCCGATCAGGTGGTGGCTATCGATGAGTCTGCTGCCAACGAGCGCACTGCAGAACGTCATCGTGGCTGGGCACTAAGCGGTAGTCAATGTGTCGGTCCCTATCATACTCAACGTACCCCGCATTGGTCAGTCCTGCCAGCTATGGATGTGAGTGGATACTTTGCCTGGGAGGTTCTGGACGGTGGTTACACCCAGGAGCACTTTGAATCCTTTGTTGTCAATCAGGTGCTGCCACAATGTAACCCATGGCCAGCACCTCGATCAGTACTTGTTATGGACAATGCCAGTATGTAAGGGGTGAGCCGCTGAGGGCAATATGCGATGTAGAACTTGATGGATTTGATAAGGGGCAAGTCTCAGAGCGGGACTTGCAGAATTCTAATACTCCCGCCTCAGGGGTTGCAGGCCCGCTCCGGAGGTAACCGGAGGTTGTACGTCCGCTTTGGAGGTACCGAGGCCTGTGCTGTTGCCGAGGCGCTAACAATGGGCCTAGCCCATTACAAAGTATCCATAACATCCCACGCCTCACTGCTATCTGCAAGGCTCAAGGTGTAATAGTACTACAGCTGCCGCCATACTCACCAGACTACAACCCAATTGAGCAAACCTTCCGCGTGTTAAAGGCATGGATTCGACGCAACTGGATCTCAACTGCATACTACAAGAACCTTGGGGAGTTCTTAGATCACGCTATCAGGTCTTCTATGGTCAGCAGGCCTTGTTGGGAAATGTATAGAAGGTGTGGGTACGAAGAAGCAGCAATTATCAATAATTAAGTCATAACAGCGTATTTGTGAGAGGGGGCCAGCTGGGGATACCAACTGCTCTCTGAGATGGAAGGATTGGTGGAAGGATGGTTCAGGCTTGTTGGAGATAAGGGTGTAGAG